TCTACAATTTTTAACTTAAATTTTTCTCCAATTCAATTTATTTTTTAAAAATTTACAAAACATTTTTTTTTTTAGAAATTTCTTTATTGAAGTATCAAAGTTCGATTATTTATAAAGATTGCAACATATCTGAATTTTTTTAACCCACTACTTGAAATTTGATATTTTTGTTGTAGTATTTTATTTTTTGTTAAGATGTCGAAAAATCGTATTTTAAACGAATAAATCGAAAAAAAAGTGTCAACTTTTGAAAATAGGAAAAAAATAAGTCGAAAAAGTAACAATCTGAGGTAAACAATTCTTAACAAATTGTTTTATACTTTAATTTTGTAATATTTTTACAAATATTCTGAAACTAAGTAAAAATAATTCTTGTTGGACATTTTTGAATACAAAAAAAAATTTTTTAAATTAGATTTGCATTCCGACAAGTTCGACTGTATGAAATTTGACTTTGACTTTTATTTTCACTGTAACTTTGACTCTTAATTTGATTTTGATTCTGTTGTTAACTTTCAATTGTCACTCTCACTCTAACTTTGATTTTTACTCTGACATTGACTTTGATTTTGACTCTTACAGTGACTTTGATTTTGATTCTTACACTGACTTTGATTTTGACTTTGAAACTTAAACTGAAAGTCAAAGTCAAAGTCAAAATCGAATAGGAAGTCAAAATAAAATTCCAAATCTCATTTTTCCCTACAATAAAATCCTGCTGTCATTCAAGATTAAAAAAAACAACTCTATTTTGTATACCTAATTACAAAAAAGGTGCAGAAAACGAAATTTGTCCCACAAGAGAAGTAAATTATCACCTCTCTCTCTCTCTCTTTTTCTTTCTCGCTCGACATAATAATAATAACGTTGAACAATCAATTTTTCTCAGCGAGCGAGCGTTTCGTTTCCTTTTTAACGAGTGTAGAAAACATTTATCCCCTTGTTAGATCTCGCCACAATCGAGATAAAAGCTCAAAAACCACACTAGTGGAAAAGTAATAGCACGAAAACGCAACGTAACAAAATTAATCAGATGGCGATTCATCAAGAAGTATACAAGAAGCAGAAAGTCATAAGGGAGAAAAGAAACGAAAGAAAGAAAAAGGCAAGAAAAATTTTTCTCCTCTACACCATATCCATATCTATATATATATATGGAATAAGAAAAATAATATATAAAAGTTTCACGTATAGTATAGGCTTTACAATGGAGCAAATACCCACCGATATCGTGCAAAGCCTTCTCAATATCCTCGCTCATGTTGGAATTTGAAACCGCTTTCCGAGCGCGCGATCCCATCGTTTATAAATCAAATCTCGACACTTGCTTTCTCTCTCTCTCTCTCTACTTTTCTCTCTGTTTCTGTATCTGTTACTCTCTCTGTCTCTGCCTTTCTCTCTCTGTATGTTACTCTCTCTGCCTCTTTCTCTCTCTATTTGTTACTCTCTCTGCCTGTTTTTCTCTCTCTCTCTCTCTCTCTTTTTTTTTTCTTTCTATATTCAGGCTTCACAGTGCAAAAATAAATTCAAAAAAGGAAAATAGGGAAAATTTTTATTCAAAATAAGGGAAAATCGAAACATATTTTTTTTAGTTAAATTTGGACACTTATTTTATAAAACTGCTTTACAAATTCCTATAATTGAAAGTTTATGTACTTTAGAACATTTATTAAACATAAATTTAAAAAGTTTTATCACATTATAACAATCCTAAATCGGCGGGATACTTTTATTTTGTCTTCTACATTAAGAAAATTTTAACAGGGTTGCCAGAATTTTACTCATTTCAAATTCCCTGACTTTTCCAGGTTAAAGAACGGAATTTTTCCAGGTTTTTAAAACTACATTTGTTGCCAACAAAAATTTAATTTTGTTTTTCCCTGACAACATTAAATTCCAGACAAAATTCTTATTTCTTGACTCTAAAGAATATTCTCAATCAGTTTAAAAATTATTACTCAGAAAAATGTTCTACAGCTTCTTTTTTAAATAAATATTTAATTATTATTTTTCGATAGGAATTAAAATTCTTCAAAAGATTCAAATTTAAACCTTTTTGAAATTAAACAATTTTCAAAAAATTGTTATAAAACAAAAAGATATCGATCACTCCGAGTCTTCGACTCGGAGCAATCGATATCTTTATGTTTTATAATAATAATTAAAAATGACCGACTGATAAAATCATTATTTTATATTTTATAAGAATATTGTTAATGTAATTTCATAAAAATTATTCTCATTTCAATTCAATTATTTTCTAGAATTTTTAACTAAAATTCTTCTTTGAATTAATTATTCATTCATTTTTAATAATTTTTGAAAAATATCTTTGAAAATTTTCAAATCCTTTTGTTTACAATTCAATTTTACGAAATTTCATCGATTATTCGGAAATTCTTCAATTAAATATATATTAGAAAATAAAAACTTCAAATAATTTCAAAAAAGTTACATTAAACTTTTAAAAAAATTAAATCTACACAATTTTTAGTTAAAAGTATAAAAAATTCAAACTTTCAGAGATTATAATTTAAAACCTTTTCAAAATTCAATTATTTCAAAAAATTCACGCTATAATACTTTCTGTTTAAATTTGAATTAGTAAAAATGTTCACTATTTTGGAATTAGTGACTGACTTTTTGCTTTTGAATTAGTAAATTTTACTATTAAATTAGTAGAAACGACTATTTATTGGTAAAATTTGCTAATTAAAAAGCAAAAAGTCAGTCACTAATTCAAATTAGAAAGCATTTTTACAAATTAAAATTTAGAGTTTAATATTCAATTATTATCTAAAATTTTAACTGAAATTCATATTTAAATCAATTTTTATTAGAAAATTCTACGAGAATTCAATTATTTAAATAGAAAAATAAATAATTTATTGAATAATTGAATGTTTCTTAAAATTGAACTCTCATAAAGAATTTTATCAACAAATTTTTAAATAATTAAAATTCTTTTGACGAATTTTAATAAAAATTTTTAAGAATAATTTCCATTTTCGAGAAATTAGATGAAAATTGCATTAAAAATAATTGAATCTCTGTAAAAAAAAAATTTGATTGAATTGAGAAAAGTTTTTGAAAATAATTGAAATTTTGCCAAGAATTTTATTAAAATTTTTGAATTTCATTACTTTTGAAAATAATTTAATTCTTGAGAAGAATTTTATTAAAAATTATTTTGAAAAAAATTGAATTGTTAAATAGAATTTCATTAAAATTGTTGAAAATAATACATAAATTATAGTTTTTGAATAATTAAAGTTTTTTTTGGATTTTCTATTAAAATAATTGATATAAAAATTATTGATTTTAAAACTTTTAAAAATAATTGAAATTTTGCAATGAATTTTATTAAAAATTTTTGAAAATAATTGAATTACTGCGAAGAATTTAATGCTAAATTTTTTCACAACTGATTTTTGTGAAAAAATTTATGCAAATTCATTTTAAATAATTGAATTAATGTAAACATTTTTTTTTTTTTTGAAAATAATTGAAAGTTTGTGTAGAATTATTTTTAAAAATTTTTGTTTAATAATTAAATTCTTTCGGGAAATTTTATTAAAATAGAATATTGAAAACCATCGAAGTAAAAGACAAATTTTGGAAAATAATTGTATTTCTGCAAAGAATTTAATTAATTCTCAAAATAATTGAATTCTTGTGATGAATATTTTTATTTATGAAAATAATTGTATTTTGCAATGAATTTTATTAAAATTCATTGCAATTCAATTTAAATAATTGAACTTTTTCAAAGATTATTGTTATTTATTTATATATATATATATATATATAAAGATAATTGAAATGTTGAACACAATTTTTTTTCAGATTTTTTGAAAATAATTTGAATGTCTGCGAAGAATTTAATTCATTTTTAAAATAATTGAATTCTTGTGATGAATATTTTGTTATTTACGAAAATAATTGTATTTTGCAATGAATTTTATTAAAGTTCCTGAATATAATTGAATTTCGGCGAAGAATTTTTGTAGTTATAAAGATAATTGAAATATTGACGAGAATTCAACTTAAAATATCAAAGAAAATAAATCTCATTTTTAAGAATTTTATTTTTTCAAGGTTTTGTCATAAAATTCAAGGTGTTTTCAAGGAGCAAACCAAAATTTAAGTACTTTTCAAGGTTTTCAAGATAGCTGGACACACTGATTGATAAAAAAGGGGGGAAAGGGTAATTTTTTAAAATAGAGGCAAAAAAGGGGAATAGGAGAGAGAGGTAAAGAGAGTAACAAATAGAGAGAGAGAGAGAGAGAGAGAGAGAGAGAGAGAGAGAGAAAGAGAGAGTAACAAATAAAGAGAGAGAAAGGCATAGAGAGAGAGAGAGGGTGTGTATGTATCAATGCTAGAAAATGTGAAGTATCGAGAAATGCACCTGCCTCCATCGCTCGTAATAAGGCAATTACTCCAGAGCAAAATTTTGTCTGCCACTATATCTCTCCGCTTTCGGAGTTTCGACTGCACCAAACAGCCTCTTCTCTCTCTCTCTCTCTCATCCATAAACCCTCCCCCCTCTCCCTACCACTCTACAGTAGATAGACCGAAAAAGAAATCGGCATCCGGATCAATGATGGTGCATACATGAACCCGGATAAATGAATTATCGAAATACCGGAACGCTCTCTCGAGCGGTTATACCGTTACCATATTTGCTCGGGAAACTGTTTTCCCCTCCCCCCCTCACTCACTCTCTCTCTCTTTCCTCCCCCTTTTCCCCCTTCTCTTGACCTCCCGCTTATGGCGGAATCCACGAAATTTCCAACCAAAACCACCCTCTCTCTCTCTCTCTCACTCACACCATGCCAAAAAAGCGTCCGAGACCTTGTGCGCACACCATATCGCGGCGAACGGACTGGGATGTGGCGAAAGAGTAGAGAGAGAGATGAGAGGAGAGGAGAGAGGGTTTTTGCTTGTAGCTTCCAGTGCACGGAACCTAAGCGGTAAGTATTATAGTAAAAGTGACTCACCGTTTGCGAGGGGTAGTCCGACTAACAGCACAGCTACCAACGCCATCCGTAGGGTGGTGAACCACCCTTTCCGACACGCCACTCCCTGCATTCTGAAACACAAACATTTGCGAATTTTTCAACAACCTATACACATTTTCACTTTGGTATTTTTTTTTCTTTTTTTTTTTTTTTTTATTTCAACGTGCAAATAAATATCGTCAACTCAAGAGGTGGGGGTAGAGGAAGGGAAAGCGGTTTGGAGGTCACCTCTTGGGAATTGAAAAAAAAGAGGGGTTTTTTTTTTTTTTGTTTTGGGGAATTTATATATATAAAGTAGACAATGGAAAAAATTTAATTTATATATGTACGTTTGTATAGGTAAATATAAGTGTGGACAAGAATTGAATAAAAATGAGATAATTTCCTCTCGATGTTTATACTTGAGGATTTATGAAATAAGTTAAAAGTATTCTTATTTATTATTATTAAAAATATTAACTATATAATAATCTTTGTATTTCATTCTTTCGTTAATTCTGTCTGTCCACATTTTGCAGTAAGAAAACATTATCAGACTTTGCACTCGATAATTAATTTTAAAAAAGTAGCAAAAAGTAGTTTTCAAATTAAAAAAAATGTATATAGTAAAAAGTAGCTATCGAAAAATTAAACTTGACGACCAAAAATACTCGTCTTAGACACTTCACAAAACTGACAAAAATTCCATTCTTTATTTTATTTTCCTGCCATTTTCATAAAAAAATATATTTACTTCTTTCTTATCCTGCTAATAAATTGAATTCCTACAACAAATTTTATTATTCATGAAAGAATTTAAATGTTTTTAAAAATAATTGAATTTCTAAAAAGCATTTTATTAATTATGAAAATAATTGATTTCTTTCGACTTATTTTAAATTCTAAATTAAATAATTGAATTTCTGAGAATTCAGTTTATTACTCATGAAAAGAATTGAATTCTTACGAAGATTTTTACAAAAGATTTTTTAAATAATTAAATTCTGTTTCGAAATTCTATGAAAATAGTAAATATTGGAAAATCAGTAAATTGCGAAAAATTTTTAAAAATAATTAAATTTTACAAAGATGTCTATTAAAATTTTTGAGAATTAATTGAATGTTTGTGTGAAATTTTATTAAATGTTTTTAAAAATAATTGAATTTCTAAAAAGCATTTTATTATTTATGAAAATAATTGAATTCTCTCCAACGATTTTATTAGAATTTTTTTAAATAATTGAATTTATTTCAAGAAAAAATTTATTACTTTTAAAAATGATTGAATTCTTGTGATCAATATTGTTATTTATAGAAAACAATTTAATTTTGCAAAGAATTTTGTGAAAATGCCACAAAATAATTGAATTTTCGGGAATAATAAATTTTGTTATTTATCTTTAATAATTGAATTCTTTCGAAGAATTATTTATGTAAATAATTGTATTGTTGGAAAGAATTTTATTAAAATCTAAAAGAATAATTGAATTATTTCAAAAAAATATCATTAAAATTCTATTTAAAATAATTCATTTTTTTCGAACAATTTTAATAAAATATTTGAAAATAATTGAATTTCTGTGAAAAATTCAAATATTTTTGTAAATAATTAAATTCTTCAAAAAAATTTTTAAAAAAACATTTTTTTTAAATAATTGATTTTTTCGAGGAAATGAAATTAAATTTTTAACAATAATGACATTTTTTGAACAATTACTGTAAAATTATATTAAAAATAATTGAAATCCTGCGATGCATTTTATTATTTATGAAAATAATTGAATAGTTGCAAAGAATTTTATTAAAATTGTCAAAAATAATTGAATTCCAGAGAAGAATTTTATTTATAAAAATAATTTAATTATTGCGAAAAATTTTATTAAAATGTTTCATAAGAATTGAATTTCTGTGCAAAGTTTTAGAAACATTGTTTGAAATAATTAATTTTTTCGAAATATAATAAATATTATGAACATTTCATTTTAAAATAATTAAATTCTTATTGGAAACTTTATTTGTGAAAATAATTGATTTTTTCGATTAATTAATTTTCAATAGTATTAAAAAAAATAATTAAAATTCTTCGATGAATTTTGTTATTTATGGAAATTATTGAATTCTTGCTTAGAATTTTATCAAAAAATTGTTTTTTAATTTAAATTTCCACGAAAAATGTTATTATTTGTGAAAATAATTGAATTTATTGTATAAAAATTTTGTTAAATAATTGATTTTTTCGAAATTTTTTTGAAAATGCTATTCTAAATTAAATGAAATCCTGTAGAAATTTTATTATTTATGAAAATAATTGAATCGTTTTAAAGAATTTGATTATATTATAATTAACAAATAAATTTTGTTTATTATAAGGTTTTTTTTCTAAAAAAAAATTCGTTTCACTGATCTAAATAATAAAATTATTTCTCCTTTTTATTTATGAATTTAGAAAATAAAGAAAAAAATTTTAATAAAAAAAAATGTTCTGTTACATTTACTTACGAATTTCTTTAATTGTAAAATTATTCGAAAACATCAATAACTTCTTTTTTAAATAAATATTTAATTATTATTATTTTTCCACAGCAATTCAGATATTCAAAATTTTCAAATTCAAATCATTTTTAAATTAAACACAATAAAAAAAAATATTGTTATAAAACAGAAAGAAATTGATTGCTCCGAGTCGAAGACTCGGAGTGATCGATTTCTTCCTGTTTTGTAATTAATTAAAGAAAAATATTCACTCCGAAAATAGTAAAAATTGTAGAGTCGCAAGTTAAAACTTAATTTAAATTTTATTTGGAAAAATAAAATATCAGTGATAAATTTTCTTTTTGTATTTTTCAAAAAAAAAAGAAAAAAAGAAAAAAAAATTGCGAAATAATTTTTTTTTGTGGCATAATCATTTTTTTTCTGGGTATATAGTTTTAATTAGTTTTTACATTTAATCAGATTCTGTTTGTCCTTATACTGCTATTATTAATATGTAAATTGGGATTTCGATATTAAATTTCAATTAGCTGTAGCGACAAGAGAGGGATTATTTTTTTTTTATACACATGATTAACTCTTCCTTTTGATGAAATGTCCGTACCTTCATTACAAGAATGTTTAATTTAGCCTTCAATTAATAATTTTCAGATAGCGTGTTCTCTTTATGAAATATATGTTTAAAAAAATGAGAGACAACGATATAAAATATTTATAATAAAAAAAAAATTTTTTTTTTAAATAATGAAAAAAAAGTTTTTTTAATTATAAAAAAATAAAAAAAATAAAAAATAAAAAAAAATAATGAAACTAATAATAATGATAATAATAAAAATAATAATAATAATAATATTGATATTAATAATAATCATAAAATTTCAAATAAAGATATTTTTTTATATTAATCATAAAAGAAATAAAAAAAAAAATAAATAAAATTATATAATTAAATAAAAGATGGTAAATTTTAGCTTCTGAAAATAATTAACTATTACATAATTAACATTATAGATAATAACAATATAAATTTAAAATCCACAAAGAAAATACAAAAACTAAAAGAAATTGCAAATAGCAATTAAAATACGTTAATAAGATACCAAATTAATGAAAAAAGAAAACCGCACCCTACACATAAAGTGCATAATAGTGAATTTATATTGGCATTTTAGTAATTTATCTTTTCTTTATAAGCATTCATTGAAGGGTAATGTCTTCTATGTATATAATATATATGTGTTTTTCTTCTTCTCCTCCAAATTATTTTTTTTTTTTTTTTTTTTTTTTTTTTTTTTTTTTTTTTTTTGGAGGGATGTGTGCAATTATTTGTGTTGGAGAGTATGTACAACGATATATCTATGACTAGAAATACTTCATGTACACGTGCAAGGGACTATACACGAAAGTAGAGATAACAATGGAAAGGGGCAGTGGTTTTTGGGGTGAAAGAGAACCCTTCTTCCTTGTAGGGTTCAACGATTGTTAATCAATTGCCCGCGCCGATAATTAACAGGCGTTTTCAATCGACCATGAAAGCAGATGATACGCACTTCAGCGCTTTTACAAATTTATATTATACATTTAAGTATCTAGACACAAAAACGTTTAAGTGAAACATTTCTTTTTTTCTATACAATCACTCCTAATATTCTGAATACCAAAAAAAAAATTCTTACAATTTTTTTTCTCTTATTTTATAATTAGAGATATAATTTCTAATTTCGGTGCGTGGATTTTTTGTAGTTAGGGGCTTTGTAGCTTCTTCGACAAATAAATAACTAAATCAAATAATAATTATTGTTTACTATTTATTATTATTTTTTTATTATTTATTACTATTACTATTTATTCATTTACTATTTGCTATTATTAATACTCAGTATTTATAACTATTACTATTTATTTATTTACTATTTACTACTATTGTTATTATTTACTATTTGCTATTATTAATACTCATCATTTATAGCTGTTACTATTTATTTATTTACTATTTACTACTATTGTTATTATTTACTATTTGCTATTATTATTTACTATATTTATTACTATTATTATTTATTTTTTTGTTTATTTATTTGTTTATTTATTTATTAAGTAATAAACGAAGCTATTATTGTTTACCTTTCATTACTCTCATTGTTATTGTTTATTATTTCTTTTATTATTGTTATAAATTGTAATTGAAATGAAAATTTTAAATAAATTAATTTCTTTTCCACGTTAAAATGGCATTTACTACAAGTTGACTTAATTGAGCTTAAAAAAAAGAGAGGAGAAAAAAAAGGAAGGCTTTTCATGAAAACTTTGTGAAGCTCAGTAAGGAATTAATGTTGCTTTACACGAAAGAAGCACACAGGGGATTAAAATGTTTTAACAAATTAAATGAATGACTGCAATGAACAAAGGGGCACTACAATTTTCAAAGGAAAAATAAGGGTCTTGAACATAATAAATACAGCAATTGTCCACTAGATATACACTCGCATGTTATGTAAATTAAATAAAACAGAAAATGAATCCTTGTTAAATAAATTACAATCTTGTATAATACATTTTCCAGGGAAATTAGTATTTTCTCATTTTGTCTCCAAGTTTTTTT